TGTGTGTGTGTGTCTGTCTGTGTATGTGATTCTGTATATATATGTATATATATATATACATATATATATACACATATATATATATATATATATATATATTCCCACTAAGGTGCTAATCTATGTTATGAAGGGCTATAATATTTTATAATGAGCTAAAAGGGGGTAAATGGGCAAAAGAATCACAAATAATTGTTGTTTAAGTAGAGAATGCTAGCATTGGCTGTGAAGGGCCCCTTCATTGCTGTATATACCCATTTGCAGCTATATTTTATCTAAAGGTTTCTGGGTAGATGCTGATTTGTGAATGATAAAAAAAAAAAAACACTTAACAAGTAGAATGGACCTCTGAATAAATTCCATTTTATGACAAAGGGTAATAAATGATCAGCCAATAAGCTTCCCTAAGTGGAAAATGACTGCTCAATAAGTTCGGTGTCTATGTGGTGAGCCATTTAGTATAGCAATACATTGCCTCAGAGCTCAGAAAGCCATCAGTTACCTAGCTTTTCTATTGATATATAAATCAGTATTTTGCAGATTTCACCATTTTTTTTCTTAAGACTCACATCTATGACTATCCTGCAAAACAAAGAAGTTTCTAAACCATTAAGTGTACCATACCTACCTTGGTATCTCCCATAATTCCCTGCTAGAGGAGACCTGGAATAGTGATTAGTCCACTGGGTCAATCTAGGCTTTCTTTGTTAGTATGCCTATTAAACTATATTGTGCACCTTGTGCAAACAAATGTATGTAGCAGCAGGGTAAAAAAAAAATCTACTAACCAATGTGGAGATCCTCCTTTTTATACTGAATCAGGTCAGGGGGTCTTAAGCAAATTTCCTTCATGTTGACCTCTTTCCTGTAGAGAAAGAACAGGAAGTAGTGATAACGTAATCTACTATTTTAAATAACTGTGCACATCATTCCATCCACTTCCTCACCTTATTGACTGTTGGCATCTCTTCATACCCTTTCCACCCAGTTGCTTATTATTTCTATGCTAAAACATAACATTGCGTTCCCCAAATTAATTCTCCAAAATGTTCAATAACATAATTGAGGAATTCAGTCACACGAGAGTACACATTTGTTACAGCATTGGGCAAAAAGCAAATTACTGCCTGGGAAATTTCCCCAACCACTAGAGTCTAGAATATATACAGAAGTTGGCAGGTGTTTTAGCCAACTAAAGATGGAGCCTTGTGGACAGAAGGGGAGATTGAGTTCTACAGTGCTGGAGCTGCATGTGGAAAGGCACATATACCATAACTAATCGTGGATTTAACAGGTCAAGGGTAGTCAGCAATTCTGTGGATTTCTGAAAAACAGGAACACCACTTAAAGAGCATAAAATTACTTAAGGTGGACCTGAACTCAAAAGATGAAGATTTGCTACCTTATAGGGAACATCTGGAAGTGTTGTGCCTAAGTATGTATCCTGAAAAAAATACCTTTTGTCCTAAATTCCTACTGAAAATAAGTGTGCTTCTTGTTACTAGGTACAACTGTGCCTGCAGCTTCAATGCTGTATATTTGCAGTGCGAGATTAACTAAGACACTGCTGCCTCTGACTGCTAGTCTCACAAGACGTGGGGTGAGATTTGGTGATGTCACTACTGTGCTGCTCACTATTCTTCTTTGCTGGAGAATAAGCTGTACCTGAGGACCTTCAGTGCATGCATCTCCCTGCTTCTGCTTCATTACATCTGGGGATCTGTGCTTCTGGCACCTCTGTTGCTGCTTCTATAATATTCCCCCACCTGCCATTAGATCACTAGTTATTGGGGGCAGCTCTGACATACGGAAGCAAAGCCCTGGCTCTACCAATATGGCTGCCTCCACACTGGGACACAGTGCAGAAAAAGAGAGTTAGTATGATTGACACACCAAACCGTTGAAGCAACGTACAGATAACAAATTCATTGCTATAAAAAGCTGGACACAGATTCCTTTCAAGGCCAACGCATTTTGACAGCTAAGCTTTATTACCTTCATCGAGGCCTGTAGTTGTGCATGGGCCAGACAATAATGATTGTTTGTCTTTGCATTGAACAGAAGATCTGGGTATAAATCTGTTAGAATGTATTCTGTATTTCTAGAGCTGTCTTTGGGCATGCTCATCAGCAGCTTGTGGTTGCAGCCACAATAATAATGACTAGTCCTTTGTCCTCTGCTTGATTTTTTAGGCATAGCTTCTACATTGCAAGTCCTATGTATACTTAGTCCTATGTATGTATATTAAAGTCTTGTGCATTTCACATGGGAGACTACTAATAGGAATTTAATGTAAAATCCTCATGACTTCATGTATGCAGCGCTAATAATTCCCAACCTCTAATGTAATCCATTCTCTCGTCTGCGTTACGAGCCGCGATTTAGATCACGGGAAAAGAAAAATGTGAAGCATATTTTTTAGGACTTTAAACAAGATTTCTACATGGATTAGGCATTGCTTATTAGTAATACCAAAATAATGTATAACTCAGAGTCTGGTCCTGAGTACCTTACAATATACATAATACTCCAAGGAATCCTACAGGTATCCTCTTCCCCTCCTATTTACCCCCAAATATACACATAGATTGTTTGCCTTGGTATAACATAACTTCCCAACATAAATGTAAACAGTTTTAATTAAAGTGTTACATTTGGAACTAACTTACGGTTGAGGTTTCATATGATAACCATAACCTGCAAAGAAAAAACATTGGATTTAAACACTTGACAATAGAAAACAGCCAATAGATCCATCAATGGTTCACATTGTTATTTGCAAAGACACAGCTGACTTCCTTTCCAGTAATAGCCATTACATTCTAGTATGCCCACACAATATACCCCCTTCTGAAGATGTCTAATTTCAAGTGTATATAAGCTCTTACATTGAACAAAGCCACTTCTCTTGGCCGCTCGACTGGTCATGGCCTCTCCAACATTATCATGTGAAATGCAAGGAATGTGAGGATGTTGAGTGTAAACACAAATGTTTCCGAGCACACTTACCAGCTAGCCTGCAAAAAACAAATTCCACTATCTAACTTCACATGTTTTGCAAAATATGTGAAAGCCACATTGCCTCGTCAAGGCCCCTCTGTGTAGTCTGATTCTAACTCTATCTAATCTAATCTATGAGAGCCTCCATCTTGGAGCATATATAACAAAAGTCAAATTGAGTGCAGGTATGGTAGGTCATCCCTCCTTAAAGGCACAGGGACACACCAGAAACCCAGTACATCACAATGGCAGCTAAGGCCCCAGTGTGTCCCACCACCAAATCCAACAAGCTTGTGAAAGCTTTTTCTTGTAGGATGTTGGGTGCCTCACCCACATCCTGAGCATCGGAGAGCAGAGAAGAGCGTTGGCTGCTGGCAGTATGAGGAATAAGGTAGTACTCCTTCTTATTCCTCTATCTCTAGACAAAACAAGCATTTAACTCATGCAATACAGAGGGGGAACTCTTGCAAAGGTTCATTTTTGTTTCCCTGCAGTTTTTCTTTGGCAAATACCAAAAAAAAACTTACATTTAGACTTCTTTAATGATTCCAATGCATTTCCACAAATGGCCACATTTTGGCAAAATATCCTGCAAAATGAAACAAAAGCTCCTGGTTGCACTCATTCCTATCACTATATGCTTTCAAGATCTAAGTAAATGCTGATGGAGTCCTACCATTATTGTAAATGTATTTCTTTCTTAATTTTTTTTTAAGTGTTTGGTTTGTGATTGGTTAATAGGCAGGGAACATAAGAATCTGAATCTAATTTTATTACATTAATATTGTAATAATTATTATATTATTTGTTTGCATAGTAGCCCTCCAGCCTGCTGATATCCTTTAGGTAAACTTATATACAGGTATGTCGTTGGATTCTATGTTTTTACATTAAATTGTAGTTGACACACTTGCAGACACTTGGCTCGCCCGGGGCCGCTTGTCTTATGTTTGCCACGTTTCAGAGTCTTCAAGCTGCACTCACCTTTTCTGCAGTTTTTGCGGGTGATGAGAATTACAGCTGTGAGCAGTAGAAGGAAGAGTAGAAGGGTTGCCAGGATATATCCGAGCTGCTGGAAGAAATGCAGCCTGTTTTCCGGAATTATAACATTGATCACTTTGTTTTCCCGGATCATGGTGGAATCTGAGGGCATGAAAACAGCAGAGGGGGGAAAATATAACACAAAATTATTTTGAAAAGCAAATTCGAGCAAGAAGTGAAATCAGTCAGCGAACTTCTAATGCCGTCCATGAAGCATTGCAACTGAGCTAAGGTCAAATGGTCCAATAAATTTAGCTTAAAGCTGAACTCCAGAGAAATATGAAAAATGCAAATGAACAAGTTATTTATTTACTAAAAAAAAATGTTATGTTTTATTAAATGCAACTACACTGTACAAGAACTTGGATCAAGCTCATCTCACATCACCCTTTCTCCGTCTCTGTCTCGTTCCCGCAGTTGGTCAGTCAGACAGTATTCACTACTGTACATTGGTATTTGCGGTATGCAAACCTAAGTCATGTACTGTATATTAGAGCTGATTTCCTCTATTCCTTGCTTAGTGACCAATTAACGTCCTAGTCGTAGGAACGAAACTCGGTCGTTAAGTGAGGAGTGTCTGTATTGATTTTACCAGCAGAGCAATATCCAGACATCATGCAATGCTAGGCACATCTGAACTATAAAGCACTTTTGTACAAGCTCTGTTCCTTGTTTCATGTGATTATTTTAGTAAGATTCAAAATGGCAGCATGGTATCTACATTATAATCACAGTTGTATTCATCTGTATAGGTCAAAAACAAGACACAAAATAGGTAGTTTCAAGCTCAATAGAAGTCTTGGCACTGGGAAAAGAGTGCAGTTGGGGTAAATGGAGCTGTACAAAGAAAAAGATGAGAAAACAAAGAACTGTACCACTAAGCAACCAATCAGATATACGTTTAGTGAAATCACAGCAAAGGAGAGTTATTTCAAATACAAATTTAATTGACAAATATCTTTGACAGCCAGGTCCAGAAACCAGAGAGTGTTATTCAAAACAACAGCAACAAACCAACAGTGTGCTACAAAAAGCCTTGATCAAGACTGATGATCTGTTGACCCAATGTTGACTCACCGTTGGTTTACTGCCATTGTTTTATACAAAGGCTCATTGGTTTATGGATTTGACTGTTAAGGATCTTTTTAGTATTTGAAAGTCACATCTAATTGAAGGAAGGCAAGGAATAAGATCCAGAACCCGCTCAGCGTGGGTAAAATCCTTCATGCAGCAGCAGTTTGTTTCATTCAAGAGTTGACTTCAGTTGATTGGTAAATGATACTACATGCTGATTACTAATTACTACTAATTGATACTGTACCTTTGGCAGGAGCTGCTGAAGTCTCCTTGATGGGTTTCTTGGGTTCCTCTTCCTTGGGAAGTTCTTTAGGAGGCTCTTTGGGAGGTTCTTTAGGTGGTTCCCTGGGTGGATCATAGATTTTCAAATGAAAGATTCTACGTTCATGGAGTCCACAGTAATGATGGTGAAGATGGCAAGAGTAGGTTCCTTCATCTCCTTTGGTCAGGTCTGATATATGAAGGGAAAAGTCCCCATGGGCAAACGCTGCATCTGTAATGTTCATCTTTCTCCGGATGAAGAGAGGACCGTACGATCGCTGCTCCCCAGAAGCATACATGTCGATCAAGCGATCAGCTCTGTCATGTGGGATTCCTGGGGCTTGCCGATCCCAATGTACCACTTGCTGGTCTGTTTCACGGTGGCGGTCTGTCCATATATGATTCCAGTTCTCACACGGCAGTACAACATCAGTGCCAACCAAAGCCACAATAACAACTTTTTCTCCATCCCAGTAAATCTTTGCTCTACGTTCTGAAAGAGAAGGAGAAGCAATTGCCATAATGAGATGCTGAACCCAAAATGCTGTTTCTGATTAAGAATTCTAACAGCTATTCCAAAGAGCCCAGACTAGCATTTTCCCATTTGTTATTGCTGTCTGCAGACTTTGTTGTGGAAGCTGCATTTGTCTTTTTTTTTTAGGCTTCTGAAAAGAGAGCAATGTGCGATCTGAAACCAATGGAGTTTCTTTTTTTTATAAATTGTAGCGTTGATTGAATTGCTCTGAGCTGGATTGAGTTCCTCCAGTACATTTATTTGTGCAGAAACACATTTTAGCAAAGTGCAGATGCTGTGGTCTATTCACACACCATTTTAACCAGGTGAGGCTTTCCATGTAAGTTATATAATTGCTGAAACTCAGAAGCTATTGTGCTCCATTCAAAGAGCTATTCAACGCCTATTAAATTTAACGTTCATGTCCACTTTTACGATATGAAGGATAATTATTGATGCCTGCTTGATGTTGTACACAATAATGTGTTTTCCCGGCCAATCTAAGAGGTACGCACCTTCCATTACCATGATATTAACTGCTCACACACTGATACTCTTAGAGGCGCCCTGTCTCTTTTGTGCTTACATCCCCTTGTAGGATTGATCTGATGGCTTCACAGGAGTAGTTTTCCCATATTCCCCCCTGTTTTGTAGAAGTTTTTGTCCAGACAATTTAACTATAAAGAGGTCTAAATCTAAATTATTTGAATGTATTATTATAACATAACTCCACCATTTATTAGAACAGTCTGACCATCACATTTCTAATGCTCTAGCTCTGTAAAGCTTACTCTCACCTGACTTTGTAGTGTTCAATTGGACTGTGACTCTTTCATCCAGGTGACAGTAGTGATGATGTAGATTACAGGAATACACACCCTGATCACTCGCTGATACACCTTTCCATAAGCAATGGTTCCATAAAAAAAAAAAAGGACACAAATGATTAATATTTCATAATAGACTACAATGTATTGTTAATATTTTATGGGGGAAAAAACATTATTTGCGATGCACTATTTGGCAATCCTGCTAATTGAAAGCAGAACCAGGGATGGACCTACCATTTGCGCAGACTGTGCAGCTGCACAAGTGTCTTTTGGGACTTAAGGTGGCCATACACTCTACAACCATCGCAAGACTTTAGTCTTGCGATGGTTGTAAAGGGATTAAAAAAACGTACGATCTGCCTATCTTGGACAGGCAGATCGCACTCTCGATCATCGCAAGCCCGCCCTCCTGAGGGGCGGGCTTCCGATGACCGCAATGCTGAACGGGCAGTGTGCGCGTGCGCACACCGGCCCGTTCAGCATTTATCTTCCGAGCACCGTTCTAACCAGCCGAGAATCGTACGATTCCCGGCTGGTTTTCGAACATGCTGGTTCGACAGAAGACGTGCGACCGTACAGTAGAAACGGTCGCCTTGTCTCCGTTCACACTGCTCGATTATCGTACGAAAACCCGATCGCATACGATTATCGTACGATAATCGTGCAGTGTATGGGCACCTTTAGAGTTCTATTTGCTCTAGATGTGGGTTGGCCTAGTGCTGGGACCCCCTCCTGCTGGACTTTGGCTCATTTCTAAAGCTGGCCCTACACCAGCAGAATTTAACGTGAACTTTCATTTAAAATTTTGAAAAAAGCGTTAGAACATTCGAGCTTGCCATCATTGAGTCAACTAATTTTGTTTGAAAGCCCTTTCAAATTTTGACTAGAATGGCTACTTGAATGGAATTCCAGATGTCTTAAATAGGTTCCTTTTGTGCCTAGCACATGTGAAGCGCATGTATGAGATAAGAAACAAGAAAGGCTCGCGATCTGAGCCTTTACATGTATTTGTCCATGCAGTCAAACACGATAGTCGATTTGTCCTTAATAATTATTAGACAATCAAATGAATGTTCTGAAATAAAAAATAAAAAAATGAAACAAAATTCTAATGGTGAATGGCCAGCTTTAGGCAGGTGTGGAGTGGGAGACATGTCCTAACTATGCCCTCCTGGTTTGCAATATCTAAGTCCTGGATGTGTGGTTAGGAGCACCTCTTAAAAAATGGTTATCTCACTTGAAAGTCCATTTAGGTTGTTTATTTAAATGGAAATGTCAGTTGCAGGCAATGTGTTTAGGGGGAATTAGACTCCCTCTTTCTAATCAGATCCTATCCTCACTGCAAAGAGGTCACGCTGACACTCAGCGCTCATCCAGCCCTTATTCAGGCTATGAAAATACAGCTTTTTCTGAACTTACTACTTATTGTTTCTTAAACCCTGAAGAAGATGACCATTTTTTTAAAAGGGCGCTCCTAACCATACATTCGGGATTTGATCTTCTGTTGAGTGATCTCCCCATTGTGACCAGAGACAGCAGCCTTGGGCCATAACTAGGTTCACACAAGGTAACACCTTCATGGCGTACGTCCTCCATTTTTTTCAGATTTATATCAAAACCAATTCCTCCTATTCCTACTGCTACAGCGCTACCAAATATCTATCAGTCCCATGCGATATCCAAGTGAATTCCATGCTTAACCAGCACTGAGACATGAAGAAAACTTCTCCTATTTTCTCTTGGCACCAATTTTGACTCTATACTTCTCTCTATCTTGGGCATTAGTTAGTAGGGAAAGAAGGGAGGGCTAAAAATTGTTCTTGCAAAGGGGGTGCTTTGGTGACTTTATCTGACACTAAGCTTATGATGAAGCAGAGTAAGGAAGACCACTACGCATCATAGGAACTATGCTGTCCTCTTCATTTGTGACATGGTAAAGAGGAGGAGCACTGGCCTCAAAATTCAGGTTTCTAAACACGTCTGACGAGCACATGGCATCCAAAAGTTGTTGTTTTTTTTTCCTTTTGCAAAAAAAAAGAGTGTATATTTGTGGGCCTGCATTATACAGTCATTTAAAATAAAGGGTAATGTTTTGATCAACTTTCCAGAAATAGATATACCTTTTATCACCAAAGAGAAATTTCCATCTCGAAAGGCACTCGGTGACACCAGGATCCGGCCCTGGTTATATCCGCTATATAAGCGTTGCTCTCCAGCAGAAAACATGTCCAGCAGCCGCTCCCCACGGTACAACCACTGACTGCTAATCAGGTCCCAGTGTAGAACACGCTGCCTGTCTAGCAGGTTGTCCTGTGTCCATACAATGCGATAGCTGTGACACACCAGGTGGGCCTGGGAACCAGTGTGTGCACTGATGTTATTTATAGACACCACCACACTCTCTGGGTTTTGCTGACTGGCGGGCACTATGGGAAGAAATAACAAAATGTCAAAGGCTTTGTTAATAAAGATAAAGCATACGCAGGGACTTGTAGTAACTCAAACTAACCAAAGGTTGGCAGTGATACATCATTTGCAACATGTTATATGCATTGACTAATAAAGCTTAACACTGGGAAATGCGCACTAGTATTTTGCACCTAGTAAATATCCCTATTCTATTGAGCACCACCTGTGCTAGTTTTGAATTGATTGAGTGGTGCCATTTTTCTTTCTTTAAAAAATGTATCTACATCTATAGCTGAGAGCTTTAGGCTAGATTAAAGCTCAAGTTTTGGATTAGTAATTATTGTCTAAATATAAGAGGCATGTGTATTCTTCCTTGAATCACGGTGATCTTTTTGTCTATCTTCCAGATCTGTGCAGAAATCCCGTGTGAAACTTTTCCTCTGTGCAGGGGCTTCCTGTATCAAAGACTGGTCACTGCTACTCTCTCTCCTTGTGCAGGGTGACTGGTCTTGTCTCCGACCCCTTTCTGTATTTTGTTAATGGCAGCCTGTAGTGGGTGGGGCCTACTGGGCCCCTCCCACAGCTCTGCTTTCTGCACATGCTCACATAACTGATCCCAGAGCAGCAAACACCTAATGTGAAGTCACTCATTGTTTTGCATGCAGCATATCATCACTTCTGATGCATGTGCAGGTATGTGGTCAGTCTACATATCTGATGTATCTGAAGTATCTCCTCCTCCTTTGATAACATGTGTGCTTACATACAGCAGACAGTGGAGTAAGAATGCCACCAGCACTTGCAGCCACATACAATACTAAATATGAGGCAGATCTATAAGGAGGATATTGCTTGTAATTTACCTAGTGACTTTTATATTATCCACTCCTGTACCTTTATTGTTACACCCCAACAGTCAAGTGGTTTCACTGTCTATCCGGATGAAATAATATTCTGGGATGATTTTGGAAACATGTTTTATTATTTTTACTTAACCCTTTCGCTGCCAAGCCCTCCGGAACATTTTTCAAATCAGCTGGCCAAGCCATTTTTGAATTTTCTGCAATTTTTTCCTATTGGTTTGATTTTCAACTGCTGCGTTGCTAGCGTTTGTAAAAGACCCCCCAAACCATATATTTTCTGAAAGCGCAGGCCCGGTAGAATAAAAAGATGGTGATACTAAATTTGTAGGCCCTGCGATAATTGCGCAAATGTTTCTCAAATTAATATTAAACCGATAAAAATACACAATTCAATTGTTAAAACACACCAAAATCAGTATCCGTGCACAAAAAAAAATATTTTTT